TTCAGAGTTCATTATGGTGTTTAACAGAATCACAGGATTGTAGAGTTGAAAGACCCCTGAGGATCATCTAGTTTAACTCCCTGCAATGCAGGAATATGCAGCTGTCCCACATGGGAATTGAACCTGTGACCATGGTATTTATCAGCACCATGCTCTAACCAACTGAGCTATCCGGTGGTTTCAGAACTTCCCTGTTTCCTTCAAGGCATTCTCACCTTGCTTAGGTGGAGTTGGGGGACCAGCAACATATGAATAGCCACATGTTTCTCATCCCCGTGTTAAGGGAATGATGTGATTAATTTCTCAAATCATGGACAAAGCTTTAAGATGGTGGCAGGAGTTCAAAGTTAGCTTCTGTTCGGTCTGCTTAGATGAAACCCAGTAAGAACGAGATATTTACCTACAAGACAGAATAACTCAGCTAAGTAAACTTGCACCTGACACTTTCGTTTCCCAAAAGCTGCCCACATGTCCACTAGCATGATGTGTGCTATTTGGGATGAATCAAGCTATTGATTAATGCAACTGATTAGGCATCACTGGAAAAACTGGAAACGTATATATCAAATTATATGTGAAGGCCATCTCTCTCTCATTTAAGGATTGCTGTTTTTCTGTGACTCATCATGATAATCACCAATGTCAATGCAAAAGTGCTCCTAAGCCACATCTAAGTGAATAGTGAACAGAACCTTTAAGTGAAACAGTCTCATTCTTTCTTCACATCCCACCATATTCATACAGATTTAACAGAGCTTGCCACTGGAACCCTTTTCTGTGACAGGCCTTTCCACCACCACAGTTGTGATTCAGTCAATATTGGGGGGGGGCTCATGAAAGTTCTCAGTGGGGTCTCCTCAGTGAGGTGGGATGTACAAACTGAGAATTCTCTCATTCTGCCTCTGACATTGTGGGATGCCATTTCAAAGGTAAGCCTATAAGCACTCCAATTGGAGAATAGCCTCTACCAAAGGCAGGACTTTGAAGAAGCACAAACTCAGGAAGAAAGGGAGAAACTTGCTAAGAGGAAGGCATGTTTGGCAAATCCTCACCACAATCAACTCCCACCCAAAAACCTATATCCCCACTGTGGAAGGATGTGTGGATCCAGCACTGGCCTCCACAGTCACTTACAGACATGCTGTTAAGACCACATTCATGGAAGACAATCTTACTTGGCTACAAGTGATTGCCAAAGAAGAAGATAGCAGCATAGAGTGGGGGGCACTGGGCCATTTGCTTGCTTTGGGACACTGGCAAATGCCTGATCCCACAACCTTTGAAGCCATCCCTGCAGTCTTATGCTATCCTGCCGCCTGCTGTGGAGCATCCGCATCCCACTACTGCCACTTCTGGACAGTCATTTGTCCTTCAGTGCCTGTGGTTCACTGTCAAATATGAGAGTTGTAGAAGTCACTGCTGGGATCCATCATTTATCTTGTTGTTCAGATCTAAGCCGTTAAAACATAATAGTGCACAATATAGAGCATAAAGCACATTTAATTTGGTTTCTAAGTCAAGGGGGTGGGGAGAGACTAATTAGAAACCTCTCGTTAGGGAGCTTGCTCTAGCTGGCTGTTGACACCAGTGATGCTGATAGGAGGGCATATTCTCAACATGCATGCAATAATGTGCTTCACATTACTTTAACATCCTCTCCATGTGTTATTTTAATTGAGGTCTCACAATTTTTAATGTGTTATTTTTATCCCCATCTCGGAAAACTACAAAGCATATTGTAGCATCTAGTCAATTTGCATCTTGGTCAATGACAGCACAAGTTAGCAAAAAGTGTGTCTTAAGGCAACAGCACATATTAAAAAATAAATGCACGTTATAATAAGCCATGTAGTCATTTTCTGCCCCTGAGGACTATCTAACACATAATGGCTCATCAAAATATTGTATCTGTGAGCTACTTTTGGAAGAGCTTAGGCCCTGTAACAACTTTGCCAGTCCAGTTGAATCTCTATCATTTTAAAAGGATGCATCTCAGAATAATATTATTGACTGCCTGGTGGCACAGACAATACACATGTACTAGTGTTATTTTGGACCAGGTTTCTTGGGGAAGGGAGAAAGAGGGGTTGGGCAAGTTATAGAGGGGTTGCAGTGAGCTGTGAGGGGATGGGGAAGGGAGTTGGGCAAGTTACTAGGGTATGGGGTGAGATGTGAGCATCTTAGGGATGAACTATGGGGTTGGGGTGAGATGGCTGAAGGGCTGGTGTGGGTGCAGGCAGGCATGGGTGGTGAGCAATGCAAGCAGGCACAGCAGCCCCTAGAAGACAACATTAAGTTAAATGGTCTAACCTGATCTAAGGCAATTACCAATGATCAATTAGGTTTACAGAGAGTGGCAACAATATGAATCATGACAGAGACACTCTCACACAGCACAAATAGAAGAGCAGTAATTATTAAGGAAAAATCAAGATTTATTTTTCCATTTGCCTGAGCTTGGATCCTTGAAAGAGAACAAGGAGGCAATAAGCAAGAGGCAATCCCTTGAGGCACAAGGTCAGCCACTCTCTTGCTTTTGTCATAATAGGGACTACAAATGGTAAGCAGCCTCTCCTGCTCCCACATTAACTGATGACAACAGCAGCCTTGAGTCATAATAGGGTTGCCTAGAGCACCCAAGGCTTGCCCCAGCCTGGTTCAGTGTGCTCTGGTTTCTTGTCAAGAGAAACCTCTGGCTTTTGAGACACTTAGGCGCCTCTTGCTCACAGTATTCTCCATCTTTGTCAGCTGAGAGTGCTGCCAATAATATATGCCCACCCATTCCATCACCAGAGGTATCAATTCTCTTTCTTCTTTCAGGAGTGCAAAGTAGTTTCAAGGTGGGAAGAATTAATCTTTACTTAAGTTCTCAACTCTTTGGCTATCTGGGAGGCCACCTGTAGGTTATAAACCATCACTGGCCAGACCTCCTACCAGAGGAAGCTAATTGTATATCCTTCTGAAACTGGTAAGCACTGCATATGCTAGTCTAAGCATCCTCTTCTTCTTCTATTTTGATCATGTTAACACAGAAGAGTAATCCTTCTAAAATTAGGAATCTGCTCTAGTAAACCACATCTAATTAACACTTGTAGTAGCTTGGTGGGTTTTTGGTTTCTTTTCTAACAAAGAATGATAATGAACTAAGTTCAGGGATCCGTAGGATCTAAAGATGCCAATCTGCGCATTTCCTCCCAGAAGCCTACATTGGAATGACTTGCACTTGCTTGTTTAACTTTATCAGCTTCTGCAGAATATTAACATTTTCCTCCAATGCATTCAGTCATTTGGATAAAGGGCCATGCTTTACCCCCTCAATGTCCTCAGGCCTCTTTCTCACATGGAAAGCTTCCCCTATCACAGCCAGCTGTGATGGGAGCAAATTATCTATTCCCAGAGTCAATAAAGAGAGGAGGTCAGTGGCCTAGAAGGAGAGGGATGTAGAAATTCAACAGCTGCCCTTGGCAACCCACACTTTGGGCAACTGGTAGGAAAAGTCTCATTTTTAGAAAGAATGTTGAGCATACACTCAGAGAACTGGGGGACATTTTCTACTCATTTGTTTTTATAAACTCAGTGAAACTCTTTAGAGGCTTACTGTAAAGCATAGATCTGGCACATTAGACAAAGCGACTCAAAATGTTTAATACTGGCATGACAGAATAAGGCCCTGGAAAGAATTAAGCACTACACAGCAACAGTAGCTCATGGCGTTACTGGATTCAATATAAAAATGTTTTTGTTTTTGAGAAAAGGAAGTGCCAAACGAAAGCGGTAACCACAAAACCTTCAGAAGCTGCACCTCTCTGACTATACAAAACACAATTATCTGGCAAAGCACTTCTGGTTTTAAAGAGCTGGATCACCTTCCATTCTGCTATTCAGGTTAAAGAAATACTATTCTGCAAATTGTGCATATTGAAGAAAGAGTATGCAGAATACTGGATTATAGCACCATTTAGAACGTATCTGGGATGGAAATCTTTTCCTGCTCTTGTGTAATAAGCTAGACCATCAAAGAGGCAGTTTCATTTTGATGTGTTAACACATAGCGTATTGTTTTGAGCTGGGAAAAGGAGAATTCAAAATATGGCATTTCCCCACTTGTGGTCTCAGGTGGTCATATAGAATTCTACCACCCCAGTCTACCAGGTTATTTTGTATAACCCCGTAGAACAGCCATAACAATTTACAGTATTGGCATGTTCACTAGTTGAGCTGGTACTGCCCTCTCACAAGCCTGCTTATTAACATTTTCACATAAGGAGTTGTTTGAAAGCATTAAAAATGAAAATAATGTTAAAAAACACCAAATGTCAAGGTGGAAAAAATTGCAAGAAGAAAAGGCATTTAATTCAGAGGTGCTACATTGAGGAGACATGTGAAAATTGAAGTGATATATAAGGTGGTCAACATCTAAAATCCATCTAAGTGCAGCCATACTTTATCAGCCTGCTTTTTTTAAAAAAAAGTCAGGTTCATTTCACAATAAGGAGCTGTGGATCCTAGCTGAAATGAGGAATTAAGTGTTTTCTCTTTGATTGTGTTTTAAAGACATATTTTAAAACAAAAACAAATTTACAAGCAGGATGGTGTTTGGTGCTCTTTCTCATCTGCAGGTTTGTTCAATGCATATTTTCATCTTCATGGATAAATACATTGCACAACACAGTGAAATATTTGAGGTTCATTTAAATGAAATTGCAAAATATTTCAGGAATCAGCTTCATTTCCTTTCTGTCCCACCCTTCCTTTCCCAATAAAATGTTTCCAGTAATGTTGCATTGCTGCTCTTCACCTCACTTCTGCCACCACTTCGGGTCATTCCCCCTGCCCTTCATAAGTATCATTCTTATAACACACACACACATGATTTCTACCAGGGTGACCCAAGTTCCATGACAAGAATAGCTGCATCCTAAAATTTGGATTTCTCTTATTTTCCAGATTATACAACTTGTACTACAGTGGAACCTCTACTTACGGACATAATCTGTTCCGGAGGTCCGTCAGGGGGTCGAAATAGGATGCTAGAAGAGGCATCTTGTGTGCGTGCGTATTTGGCGGTAGCGCGCTTCTGCACATGCACAGATGGCAGAAGCCATTGCTGCGCATGCGTGAATTGTGGCAAACCCAGTGTTTACTTTTGGGTTTGCCACGGACGCAACGTGGAACATCTGTGAGACAATGCGTATGTAAGTCGCGGTTCCACTGTATTTCTCAAAACGAATCTACTTCTTCTACTTACATGGGAGACATAAGGAGCTATCCCGGGCACTGAGGTTCTCCCAACTACTGGAAATCTACTGGGATTTCAGCAGGTATTGCCTATGCACTCCCAAGCATCTCTTTGCAAACTGTTATTTGGCGTTTCTCATGAAGAATAGATGTTACAGCCAGGTGTGGAGAGGTCAATGGCCTCCCATGTGAATAAGTTAATAACATTCGGCTGCTGCCAGTATGTCAAAAAGAGAATGATGGCTCTACAGAGACTTCTCCAGGATTTCTGTTGCATCTGGTCTGTATCCTGTTGCTGTAATGACTCCCTATTTTTTAAAGGCACTTAAGGCACATAAAGACAACAACATGTACTTTTTGCAAGAACATTGTGTCTGAAACATTTCAACCATGATTTAACTAGAGTGCACTAAGCAATTATTATGTTACAATGATATCAGAATGCATCTGAGTAGCCAACATTTGCTAAGATGTCTTCATTGCTTTTTATTCTCTTTCACATTAGTACTGAACAAGTGCAATGGTTCTGTCATATTTCATGTGGGGAATATACGTACATAAAGATATTTAAATCATATTCCGGAAAGGGGTTATTAACACATTTTCCTTCTACTCAACTTACCTTGAGCTGACAGGAGTGTTAGATGCTCAAGGCCTGACAGGTTTCAAACTATTCACTGCTGGAAAGAAATCTCCTGAACACAACATTCCTATTATTACAAGATATTTTATCCTCAATATAACTATACCCTGAATATGAGGTAGGTGGAATATTTGCAAGAAACCATTACTACCTGTTTCTGAAGAAGGCTTCAGATTCCCCAAATGTAGATAGCAGAATGAGTTTGACGAAGCTTTCTCAGACACCCCATATTCCTTAAGCTGCCCCATGTGCACTCTGAGAAATCGCAACCTTGTACAAAGGAAGAGGATGTTCTGCAGAACATTATGCTGCTGTTGAGGTCAGTAATGATTTGTTAGCTACCCAGAGGTCACTTTATGCTGAAGGAGAGGGACAGTGGATAGATAGATAGATAGATGATAGCTAGCTAGCTAGCTAGCTAGCTAGCTAGATAGATAGATATCTCTCACACACACAAGAACTGAGACCTATCAGGTGTAGAGCCATTATGGAAATAACTCAATAAATGTCACTTGCATGTTCCCAAGCCAAAACATTTTCCTGCCTAAGGTGGGGCAGCAAACGGCACCCCATTCCAAGTCAAGGAGCATGGTGTCCACAGCTGACTAAGTTATTTTGTCACCTTGTGTAGAAAATCCCTTTCCTTGACAAAAAACAATAATGAACAAACAATAATTTCTTACCATTCCATGACATCCAAAAGCATTTGCCTGAAGCAGCTACCTTAGTCTGCTAACGGTAGGTCCAGTCCTGCCTTCTGGGGTGGTGAAAACACATCCTAAAGGCTATGGGAAGTTTAAGTGAACAGGTCCCTTCCAGCACACAGCTGAGGAGCAAGGGTAAGGTATCAGATTTGTTCTGGTGCTTAAGCACTCAGCTGAGCAATGGTTCTAGTTGAAGCAGGACTGGGAGCTCTCCTTGGTCCTGCAGACACTGCATTTGACATCCTGAGGCCTGTTACAAGTGCTTCTCCAGAACCAGTATGGAACAGTAGCAAATATTTGCATTGTTTACCTTGTACATAACTACCTACTCTAGCAAGGTAGAGTTCTCGTACCCCACAATATTTCAATGAAGGAAATCCCAGGCTTTTGAGCATTGGTTGAGAGAAAATGGTATGTCCTTGGACTTCCCCCATCAAAAGACAATGCCTAGTTTGAAGCATGGGAAACATTTAATGGCACAGGTTGTAGGTCACAACAATATTGATTGGCCTATCATTCATACTTGTGACCACTGCTGTTTGATTAAAGGCCAACTGGCAAGTACAAACAGGAATCTAATGAAGTAATTTTTTTAAAAGAAGTAAAGTGAAGAGAAGTGATATTGCACAAAGTCATGGAAAATCAAATCGACCTCCCCCTATCTAAAAGAGAATGTTATCCTCAAACCATCCCTGGTAATAAACCATCTTTCCCACTGTTTCCAGTGCTGGCTAATTAGAAATGTATTTGTGTACTAACAAACATAAAAGGCCCCATTTCAGTAAAAAGTTTAAATACAAGGTTCAAGCTAAAGCAGAGGAGTTCTTGGGGTGTAATTTAAATACTAATTAGGCAGTTTATGAGAAACCCAAGTCTTTAAGAGTTCACAGACACTATGTCAGCCGAACAATGCAAAATCGCACATTTTATGTAACCGAGTCCATGTGTCACTGTATTACAATTGATAGCAATTGGGCTGTGGTTTATCAGCCCCTTCTTAGAAGACTCAGTGATCACTGGTCTACTAAATGAGACCTGACAATATTGTTATTGCTCTCCCAATTATGTTTTCTTATTCATCTCAAGCAAACTTTCCCAGTTTTACAATGCAAAGAAAACCAGGATCTGGCATAGAATTGGGCTCCATGATAAGTTACACTTTCATGATTTTTAAAACAAGTGGAAATAATTGCCCTGGAGGCTGTGGATGCTAGTTGAAAGTGGAAGCATGTATCTGTTCAAGGCTTAAGGATATACAGTACAACCATATGATCTGTGTACTCAACAGAACTTACTCTCAGGAATGTGTGGCTAGGGTTGCCATCTAAGTCAACGATGTTCTTCTGCAAGTGGCAACCCATCTTTTTAGACATGGGGTTGTCTGACAGCAATGGCAGGAGGGAGAAGCCCTTGTTCCCAAGCCCTGCATGTGTATACACACACACAGTGAGAGACCTTCTCCTGCTTTGTAAATCTCTTCACTGCCCTCCCCTTCCAGTTAATCACATGGCCAACTTCTCCTACTGGCAATGTTCAGCAACTGCAGGCATCTCCAAGCAGGAACCAGAATGCAGCATTCTGCAGGAAGCACAAAGCAATACTACCCAAGCAGCCATCACATTTTCACCCCCCACCCCACTTTAGGTAATAAAAACAATCTAAATGTACAAATATACAACAAACAACCCCACTGTGCCTGTAATGCATAAATGTTATTTACTTAACAATACTGACAATAACTGCATGTCCACATTTTCACATGAGTGTGTTTTCCCCCAGGCCTTTAAAAATGTAGTCCTGGCAATAACACTGGCAGATCTTGCCTTAAACAGGGAAGTTAATTTACACATAATCATAACATTCCACACCTTCCCACACCATTCTTCCACAGATACTGTTTTTTTTTCTTTCAAAAGAACACTTCTGGTACTTTGCTGTATCATTTCAGCAAGCACTAATAAATTACCTACTTCTATTTCTACTTCTCATTTAGAAACAGAGCCTGTGGTGTAGGACAAAGTATATCACCCACAATATCTTAACTATTCACAATGTCTCAAACAAAAAAAGTGTGCATGGTTTTACATTAACACCAAATATGACACACACACAAAACCCCCGTTTAATATGCATCACATCTTTAACATCTCCATGAAAGCAGCACTATATAATTTCCTTAATTCTCGCTGGCATGTAATGCAATTTGAACAAGATTTGGTTAAAACAATCCTGCCACATTTCAACTGCAACCCTAACGTTTATTGATAGATCTGCCCGACATAATTCCCTTACCCAACAGATATCGCCACCTGCAAGTAATTGCTTAATTTTCTTTGGGATTTATCATTACTATGCTGCATAGACACCAAGAAATGGGAAAGCTGTAGCTCAGAGGTGGAGCACAAGGTCCCAGGTTCATCTCTGACATCTCTGAGTAGGCTGGGAAAGACCCCTGTTCTAAAACCCGATAGAGCCACTGCCAGTCACTGCAAACTGTAGACTAGAGGTAGACAACCTGTGGCTCTCCAGGTGTTGCTGGATTCTAACTCACATCATTCCAGACCACCTGTCATCCTGCTGGGGGTTGGTGGAAGATGGAGTGCAGCAGCATTTGAAGGACCACAAGTTTCATACCACTGTTGTAAATAAATACTGAGCTCGACAGACCAATGAACTGACTCAGTGGAAGGCAGTTTCCAATGTTCCTGTGATATGATCATTTAAAAAAGAAACCAGATTTTCCATGTTGGCAAGATCTCTCTCCCTCCCCCCTGCCCCAGCACAGGCAAATTACTGACACTTTTGCCACAAAATTCCTGACTAGTAAATATTGAAAATGTGCTACTTGGGGAGGCGGCAAGGAGGCTAGAGAAAGGGTTTGTATATTATTGCTTAATTTGTTAAGGGGGGGAATTAACAAATGCAAATCACAAACTCTAACTGCATTTGCTCTTTCCCATCAACATTAATAACTATTTGAGCCATCAGAAAGGCTTGAATGATACAAAACCACATACACAAAGGAGACTCTGGTGGGACCTAGATTATTGCTATCTTTATCTCATATTACTTAATCTGGCATTTTGTATTAAATTAAGTTTGACATTGCTCCTCTGTCTGCCCCTCTTATTTTGCTATAGGGCCTTCTGTTCAGTAGCCCAGCATGACTTAACAGCCTTTGCTACCACATGCAGACAGAAGTCAATATAACACCATGAATATTTAATTTGATTTTGAACTGCTAGCTAGCCTTACTTCATTAGTATTTTGTTGTTGTTGCATAATTCATTATTTAATTCCAGGAATCATATTGTTCTGGAAAAAACAGTTAATGATATCCTGTATTTCTTATGGGATCTTAACTATCATTGTGAAGTAAAAAGCAAGCATTTGTTCAAAACGATTGTTTCCACCATAAAGAATTTTCCATCCATGAGATCTTTAATGTAGACCTTTCATAGAAACTTTTTGCTATTCTGCATGGCAGCATGTCTAATCAAATATTTAACCAAATGGTTACATTTAACCAAACTGTTCATATCTCCTGAAATGTTGTTACAGTGGTACCTCGGGTTACAATCGTTTCAGGTTACATATGCTTCAGGTTACACACTCCGTTAACCCAGAAATAGTGCTTCAGGTTAAGAACTTTGCTTCAGGATAAGAACAGAAATCATGCTCCAGCGGCGCGGCGGCAGCAGGAGGCCCCATTAGCTAAAGTGGTGCTTCAGGTTAAGAACAGTTTCAGGTTAAGAACGGACCTCCGGAACGAATTAAGTACTTAACCTGAGGTACCACTGTATATGGGTATTTAATGTATTTTCACTTTTTATTGTATATTGTTTCCTCTCTTTATTGATAATATTGGATTATGCCCAACTTTCTTGTGTTAACTTCATAACCAACTACTGTACTCTTCCAACATTTCCATTAATTTAATTAATAGACTTGCCTCAGGCTGTCTGGGCAATGGGGAACATTATCTGCATATAGAGCAATTCTGTAATCATTTCCCAAGCATTCATCATCGAGTCGTCTGATGGCCGTTCTGAAATTGTATTAATGTGCCACAGGGCCTACTGTTCCTTCTGGACCCTTTTATTATTAGTGTGGAATGCTGAATCAGCCTTTAAATCGAGATTACTATTCAACAAATAAAATCTATTAGGGCCAGTGACAGTCTTTAGTGGGTCCTTGGCCTGGTGCCACTGGCAGGCCCTCTGCCAACTTGGTCCATTGCCAAGTGCTGCTGCTCCCATCACAGTCACCATGCAGTATGGCTGTTTGCTGCCATTGCCTGTCACTCCCCTGAACCCTCTCTCCCCTGCGAATATGTGGTGGCACATATATGGTTACTATGGGAACCAAGCTGGTTCATTCTACAGTGGATGGCTGCAAGGGTAGAGTCCACAAGATGCCATGTGTGATGACATCAGACAATTGCCTCTTGGGGGATGTTGCCACCCACCACAGAATGGAGCTAAGTGTCGCCTCAGCTTCCATAAGAAGTGCCACTACCTCTGGATAAACATTTTACAAGGAGGAGGGGGCCAAGGTAAGTGACTGTTCAGAGTGATAGCAACAAGCAGCAGTGATGGTGGTGAGGGTGGCTTCTCTCAGCGAGGGAACCACCAGAAGGCCCTCGGTGCTGGACCTCAGTGTCCGGGCAGAATGATGGAGGTGGAGATGCTCCTTCAGGTATACTGAACCGAGGCCGTTTAGGGCTTTAAAGGTCAGCACCAACACTTTGAATTGTGCTCGGAAACGTTTCCTCTTAAATCTAATTAAGATGGCCAACTTCCCCTTTTCACATTCTAAAACGTCTCTCTAACTATTCTGTTCTGAACCAACTTTCTCATCCTGTCCCCAGACCTTATCTCATTTCTTTCTTTTTCAACCCAGTGTTTTATTTGCCAAAACTGGGAGGTACAGGTCAGTTTGTATTGAAATCCACAGAAGCAGAACACCTCGAGCATGCTTAGCACATCCCCCCTCCAACTGTAGAATATGGGGCTTGAGGTGGGGGTTGGACCAACAGGTTCAACTACTTATTTATTTATTTATTTATTTATTTTGTTTCTTCCCTCAGGTTCAACAATTTTGATGGCGTAGTGTTTGTTAGTTTTACACAGAACAGACACTAAATTGCACACAGTTTTTCTTTTCTGCACTGCCACAATCCAATATGCTCAGGTACAAATGATTTTTGAATATTTGAGCCATTTTTACAGTTGAGCATTGTGAGAGAAACAAAACACATCATGTATCAAACAGAATTGCCAATGATCTTTATGTTTTCTTTTTATTGGCATTTGCTTTGAAATAACAAATTGGCTGGCAGATGTAATGTTTTATTTACATATTGCTTCAGTCTACTATAAGGGGGACTGATGGGATTTACATCCCATCAGGCTGCTGAGGTTCACCCCCCCCCCAAAAAAAACCATTGGGTCTATCTTTCCCCCACTTTTGCTGCTGCCAAAATTGGTGGGGTCTTAGAGTGCCAGGAAAAGAATGACTGAGGGTGAGGAACGGAGATAGAGATAGATGATAGATAGATGGATCACATACGCAACAAACAAGTGAAAATAAAACTCTAAAGCAAAATAGTCATGCTCATATGCAACTAGGCTGCACTTAATGGTCCAGATTCATGAAATACAGGCTTTCAGAGTCAGATTTACAGAAGGCGGCTTCTCAGCTCTCCCAGCGCAACATCCATTATACTTGGGCTTCTTGCCATTTGCTCAAAATGGCTTCTATGAATGTTGTCCAACTGACAAATTAAAGGTCTTAGTTTCTCTTTTGGTTCTAACGAACGGCCAGCACTCCCAGCCCTTGCTATCAGAATGACCACTCCAAAGGAGGCATAATTAAGAAGAGCACTGAGCTTCAAAGCTGGTACATGCACACAATTTCATAGGACTCAGTCACTTGAAGTGCTGCTCGGAATGGCTCCTTGCTGCCACTACCAGGCACTGACCTTAACCCCTTCCTCCCTGCAAACGTATTTGCCAGTGGTGGTGATCCTTGCTATGAAAGTTATTGGCTCTGTGTTCTACAGTGGGTGGCAGCGATATGTGGTTCTGTGACACCTAGTAAGTTGAGCTGCACATTATGGACAGTTGTGGGATTGACACACAACTGCTTCTTCCAGTGCAACACTGTGTTTCTGACAACAAACACTTCTGCTCTTATAAATATGGGAAATGGTGTGCTCGATTGGAAGGCGCATGTCCATGTATACACACGTCTCATTTGACTGTATAATGTACAATGTACAATTTAAGCAAAAAGCAGCTATGTTTGTTCCATATAAGAATGGGAAACGACGTAGAGATTTAAATCTCAGCCTGTTTAAAAGACCCCAATGTGCAACCTTGATAAGGATTGCAGTCAATTAACATAGTTATCAGCCAAATGCATATGGTCTAGGCTGAAACAAGGCCACTGTCTCCTATACTCGTACATAATTCTCTGCTGAAAGTAATCACATGGTAGCCATGGTTACACAGCATAGATAAGAGCTGTAATTTTTGTCTAACAATGTCAGAAATGGGAATGAATTCAGAAATGTCTGATTTCCTTTGTGCACATGAGCATGCGCGTGCACGCACACACATACTCCTGTTCTGGATTTATTTTCATTTATTACTCTCTTGTCACACAGAGGCTTTAAAAATAGCTAAATAAAAATATGTGTCCATGTTTAGTTTTAAAGACAACAACAACACATAACACAAGGTGCAATAGTTGCCACAGCACAAATTGATTATTATTTTTCCTAAAATGAGAAGCCCAAGCCATTTAAAGACAACTGTTTCAAAAAAATTTAAAAGCACCATGTGCAACACTCATCCAAAGCCAGCTTATCAGAAGCGCAACAAGTGACAATACATCAGCTGGCACAAATTCAGTTGACGACTTCTGGTTATGAGCAAGCTTGTAATCCAAATACACGCCTACATGAAAGTCCAGTTGAACCAAATTAGACTTGATCCTGAGTAAGCCTGCATAGCATAGGAGTCCCAAGTACTGGAAATGCAGTGTTTCCCACCCCACCCTGGGTTATACATCTGTATGCTTATCAAGTTGTATAGAAATACTCTCCCCTCAAATCATCCTATGCACCAGTATCAGCAGAGTCTGAAAACACTGAAGATTAGAAACTAGTAGAAGAGAAACGGTGGCTCTTGGACAGGAATGATGTGTGCTGGGTGATTTATCTATTTGGCCAATCCATAGTCTAAAGCAGGGTTTCCCAAACTTAGGTCACCAGCTGTTTTTGTACTACAACTCCCATCATCCCTAACTACAAGGACCAGCAGTCAGGGATGGTGGGAGTTGTAGTCGAAAAACAGCTGATGATCCAAGTTTGGGAAACCCAAGTTTGACTCTAAAGCCTGCGTCCACATGGTTGAGTCTCATACCAGTCCATCTAACTAAAAACTGACTACTCCAGGTGCCAGTGGCTCTCCAAAGGCTCAAACAGAGGATCACTCAGATGCCTCTTCCCTGAGCATTTGCTAACTGGAAATGCCAAGGATTGAAACTCGAGAACTTGAGAACTTCTACATGCAAAACACGTGCTCCATCACTGAACTACGATTAAGCAAAATGGGAAAAAATCCAATTGACTCCACCCTTTAAAGGAGGGTGGTACACACATGTGGTAAATATATACATGGACTTAAATGAGGAAAGATCAGGGTTAGGTCACCTTCAGGAGCTACTTTACCTCTCCCCAGGGGTTTAGCTCGGCCAGTGCACTCTCAAGGGGAAATTTTTATAGTCTGGAGAATATGGCATCAGCAGATTGAATTGCTGTTATTGATTCAGCTACACAGTGAGGTTACCCAAATGCACAACCAAAGAAGAGTTAATCAGAGATGGCAGCACTTGGCGGTGAGATAGGATGTTACTTCAGATAGATTTAGATACCACAGAAAGCAAAGGGTCACCCCCTGCTTTTTTTTTGCTTGTCAAGTTTTATGTGTGTCAAATTCATTTGCAAACCCCATAACCACTCTCCAAATTAAACCAAGATGCTCAAAAGGAGGGGTGGGGTGTAAAATAAAGAAAAAAGAAAATGCATCTTATTTCATAAACGTGAAGCATTGTGGGGAACTCAGTCTATTTAAATCTTACCTATTTGTAGACCATTTTTCTATGCTACACAGCAGTGTTGGCCAAAATTGGGCAAAGCCACAAGACTTTACTCCAAAATTATCTGCATCTACTGAAATTACTTAATGCACATGCTGCAGGAAATGATGTTTTAATCCAAAATGAAAACTTCAGTCAGTTTACAAAAGGGGGGAAATGATCGTGGAAAGAGGTGTATATCACACTTATACCCAAAACAGAGACTGAAAAGACTCAGCTTAAGAACTATCGCCCTATATCGTTACTTAATGTGGATTACAAAATTTTTGCAGACATTTTGGCCAAGAGATTGAAAAAAGTATTGATGAAAGAGATTCATAAAGACCAAGCGGGCTTTCTCCGGGAAGACACTTGTCTGATAATTTGAGGAATATAATTGATATTTTGGAAAAATTAGAAGTGAATATAAACACCAAAGCAGTATTGATATTTGTTGACGTGGAGAAAGCTTTTGATAATATCTCTTGGAGTTTTATGAAGAAGAATCTGCATGGGATGGGGGTAGGCCAAGGTTTTGAAAATGGTATAGGTGCAATATACTCTGAACAAAAGGCTAAATTAATTGTAAATAATGTGGTTACGGAAGAATTTAAGATAGAAAAAGGGACACGACAGGGGTGCCCAATTTCCCCACTGCTTTTTATATCGGTCCTGGAGGTTTTGCTAAACATGATTAGAAAGGACCGGTTGGTTAAGGGCATACAGGTCGGAGCTAAACAGTACAAACTGAGAGCATTTGCAGATGACTTAGTATTGACGTTACAGGAGCCAGAATCTAGTACTAAAAGAGTTTTAGAATTAATTCAGGAATTTGGTCAGGTGGCAGGTTTTAAATTGAACAAGTTAAAAACTAAGGTTTTAGAGAAAAACTTAACACCAATTGAAAGAGAGAGGTTTCAGAATGAGACAGGATTGAATGTGGTAAAGAAAGTGAAATACTTGGGGATTAATATGACAGCCAAAAATGGGAACTTATTTAAAGATAATTACGAAAAATGTTGGACGGAAGTGAAAAAGATTTAGAAATTTGGTCAAATTTGAAACTCTCGTTGCTGGGCCGTATTGCTGTGATAAAGATGAATGTATTGCCTAGAATGTTGTTTTTGTTTCAGACATTACAAATTGTAGATAAGATGGACTGTTTCAAGAAGTGGCAGAGAGATATTTCTAGATTTGTCTGGCAGGGCAAGAAGCCCAGAATAAAATTTAAGATATTAACTGATGCCAAGGAAAGAGGTGGATTTGCCCTGCCAGACCTTAAACTTTATTATGAATCAGCAGCTTTTTGCTGGCTGAAAGAATGGCTACTTCTTGAAAACACAGACATTTTGGATCTAGAAGGTTTTAACAATGTATTTGGATGGCATGCATATTTATGGTATGATAAGGTCAAAGCACACAAAGCATTCAAAAACCATATTGTTAGGAAAGCATTGTTTAATGTTTGGATAAGATACAAAGACTTATTGGAAAATAAAACCCCAAGGTGGCTGTCACCAATGGAAGCAAAAGCTCTGAAAAGGCTCAATATGGAGTCCAAATGGCCGACATATTGGGAAATTTTGGAGCAAGAAGGAGATAAATTGAGATTGCAGAGTTTTGAAAAATTAAAAAATAAAGTGAGAGATTGGCTCCACTACTATCAGATAATGGAGGCATATAATTTGGATAAGAAAATAGGCTTCCAAGTGGAAAAGTCAAAATTAGAAACAGAATTGTTAGAACCCAAAACTAAAAATTTGTCAAGAATGTATAACTTGCTGTTGAAATGGAATACTCAGGATGAAACGGTGAAATCTGCTATGATTAAATGGGCACAAGATGTTGGACATAATATTATGTTCGCTGACTGGGAACAGTTATGGACCACAGGTATGAAGTTTACGGCATGTAATGCCTTAAGAGAGAATATTATGAAAATGATATACAGGTGGTACATGACCCCAGTCAAGCTTGCAAAAATTTATCATTTGCCCGATAATAAATGTTGGAAATGTAAAGAAACTGAAGGTACATTCTTTCACCTTTGGTGGACGTGCCCAAAGATTAAGGCTTTCTGGGAAATGATATATAATGAACTGAAAAAGGTATTTAAATATACCTTTCTGAAGAAACCAGAGGCCTTTCTCTTGGGCATTGTCGGCCAACTGGTGCCAAAGAAGGACAGAACCTTTTTCATGTATGCTACAACAGCAGCAAGAATACTTATCGCAAAGTATTGGAAGACACAAGATCTACCCACTTTGGAAGAATGGCAGATGAAGGTGATTGACTACATGGAATTGGCGGAAATGACTGGCAGAATCCGAGACCAGGGAGAAGAGTCGGTGAAAGAAGACTGGAAGAAATTTAAGGACTATTTACAGAAATATTGCAAAATTAAGGAACTTTAGGAAGATGTTGGATAGAAACTAAGAGGTTTTTAGCTGTAATGCTTTAAGAGACATGGAAAAAAAAGGTTAACAATTGGGTAAAAGATTAATGGTAAGGATTTGCTGAACCAACAAATTGAATTGGAATACAAAGAAGGGAGGTATGAGGAGGTCCGGGAAATAAGAGTAAGGAAGATAGGTTATGGAACATTATTGTGTTTTTAACTGTTTTATTTTGTACGTTTTTTCTTATTTTCTACTTTTTTGCTGTATTTTTAAACTTTATACTTTTTTCTTTGTTTTGTATTTTCATGTATTTTTGTGAAACTTTAATAAATATCATTATAAAAAAAAACAAAAGGGGGGAAATGAAGCACAAATTCAAAGTTAGAACCTTTCTAGTTTAACTTTAAAAATGATACAGGGGTGTGTAATGATGTGATTTCATCACATTAATTGGTACACTGAGTAGGTGACTGGAGTTCATGCTATTTTTTGTCGGGCATTTCACAGTAGATGGACTGTGAAAAACAGGAGCAATTCTAAATAAGAATGCGCATAACACACTGTCATACAAACCACTCTGCAAAAGTGCTTAGGTTCTTGTCTACTATTCCTACACACTGTCTGCCCTCCACTTTTATTCTCACAACAGCCCTACAAAATGCCACTATTTTAATAGTGGAGGGTTGAAGGGAAATGATCACAAAAGATGCCCAAGTCTCAGTGATTGTTGACAAGAATAAAGATACATGATGGAACTCCCCAAACTGGTTATTCCAAGGAAAGAACTACATGCCACAAGAAATGCAAGGCTGCTGTTGAAAATGGCATTTCCCTGTTGAGTTCCATCCTCCTGCTCCATAATATATTATACAAACAATGCAGTATCTGGGTGTCTCAACTTTCTCCACATTTTGGCAGCTGCCACACTATTTAATGACTATAGGTCACAGGTTAAATTCTGCCAGATTTTACAAAACCACAGAGGGGGTTTGATTTGGTCCAGAGCTGCCGTTTTCCATAGAAGGGCCGTGCTGCTTTTAAGCATTCAGTTCCACGCTGAAACGGTTCCTACTGAAGTTATTTGAGAACTGTGGCCAGAAGCAGTTTGTCCTGTGATACCACACAGAACGTGTCTTAACGCCACTCACTCTGCTAGAAAGAGACAGGTAGACCAGCCAATGACCCCTGGAGCTCAGGGACGTGTAGGAGGAGAAAAGGGTCAAGAAGGGCTTTGAGAAGACGTTGGCGGCATTGAGGAATTTCCTTGACTTAGCCAGTCATGGAGACGTGCACATATATTGTTCTGGGCAGGGAGTCCTAAAAGTTTAATGACAGGCATTCTGGGTATTTGCATCACCGTTGTGCACAGAGGAGGGGGAGGAATAAGAGACTGCACAACAGGGGGCAGAGACCTGCCTCTATGATGGATGAAACCTCCAAACACAAATGTGTACCAGGTGTTTCAACAGAGGTACAGCTAAGTTCCGTTAAGAGGCTCGTTCCCCACTGCCAGCTCACGAAGAGGTGGAGAGGGAAAGGCTATTAGAAACAGCACCAAAATTATACATGCGCAAAAGTGGAGTAGTTGGAAGGCGTTAGAAACATGGATGCAGAATCGCATTGCAACTGAACTCATTCACAGCCTGACTACAAACGATTAAGGTGTGTTTTTCAAGCCTCGAAGGGTCAGGGCTTTGCACAAGAGTTATTTATGGTAGTCTAAATTAAGGACACAGCCTCAGGACATCCCTTCCCCCTTAGCCTGGCTTGAAGGGTCACACAGGCTTCTCTCAGCAAGAGCACAATGGTTATGACAGCCCATTATAGGGACCAAATAAAATACTCCTACAATGTAACCCACCCCTCCTCAGTTGCTGGGAGCGGGGAGTGTTTTACTCCCCAACCCCAGTGCCTTACAATTGGGACAAAAGGCCAGACATCTCACTGCTCTTCCTAATCATGGCAATGCCAGAGGGTGGAGTGTCCAAGCTGGGGTTTTTCTCTGCAAGCCTTTAAGTAAAGCAGAGTTCCTCACATGAGTTCCTCCCTAACATCCATCCTTCTGTGTATGTGTATGTGTATGTGCATGTGCATGTGCATGTGATATGCACATCCCTAGGGCCAGACAACAACCTGTTCATATTTGTTTTCTCTTATTTGCCAGGAACCCCAAATGCTTTTATTGCAATAGGAAGGGCTAAATATAATGGTTTGAGAACTCTTGGGGTAAATGCCATGTTTTGCTCCTGGCAGTGAAAGAGAGGAAAAAATGTCAAGAGCTTCTCTGTCTGGCTGTAAAGCAGATAGATCTCTGAAGGCTTGAACTGAGTGTGCCTTACCCGGTCACCGTGATAATAAAAGAAAAAGACTCGTGACAGTAAAATGTCCAGGCTTGAACTGGCTTTTTATCTTTGCTTTTGTGCAGAAAATGAAGCTATCTGTTTCTTCCATTCTTGTCAGCCACTGGTTCTAATGATTGCACATAGCGGCAATGCATTCTGAGTAACTAGAAGGGAAAGATGGAGGTGCCTGCAGTTGTTTATGCTGCTCAGCACAGTAATCTGTAGTGAAAAATAAACAAGACAAAGGGCTTCTCTAAGATATTTGCCTAGAAAATTCCATGGGCGTATATCGAAACACTGTAATTTCTAGAACTAATGGTTTGCCACTAGCCACTGACTGACAGCACCTAAGAGATAATGGCTCCAATTACCTATTTAATAATGCAATATTTTTTGTTTTTTATGGCATATGTATCAAGGTTCATCAGAATATGGCACAATGTTAAGTATGCTGTAAGCCATCCTATTTTGCAAGCAGCTGCTGCTGGGCTTTTCTTATATGAACAGTTACCTTTCAATTTGAGACAAAAAGAAAAAGGGAGAAAAGGATCTGCTATTGGAGGCTGGGGGGTGGGCACTGGGGTGAACATGCTCAAGAACATGGTCCCCTAGCATTTTTACCAACTGGAGCAATACATTAATGTGGTTTGGTTGTTTGGTCTGTAGGCACCAGGACATGTGCTTAGGACCAAGACTCTGACTTAGAATTGACTTTGTACCAACAGGACCCCTGCGTCAGGCTCTACCTAGTAACAGAGCCTGGCCACAGACAATGAGACAACGGCCCTCTGCTGCAACCACACTCTGGAAGCTGGTTTGCTCTACGCAGAAGGGGAAGCTTGAGGATTCTTCAACCTTAACCTCCAAATCTAAAAACACTCCCTTATTATTAGTGTCTGCATTCAAATAGGGCAATGGCAATTATATACATTTTTGGATGTTAGTAGAGGGACTGGCACTGGTCTTATTGGCTAAATGGAACGGTGCCAACCCTGTACCAAACTTAGGTGACAATCTGTATATAAATCCTTTCCAATATAGCCCAAAAACATAGCCCCAAAGCAGTTACTTTTGCAATACCACCAACTGCCTCAGGAGGGTCAAAGTGAGTTACCTGAGGGTCTAGCTGAATGAGTTACCTAAGGGTCAAGCTGAACGGTGCGAGTAATCTCTCACCTTTTAGCTTGAAAGGGGGGAATGTGGTGGTGGTCCAAAGGGCCATAATGAATGTGATAACGTGAACCCCTATAAATTCTTGAGTGTGCTTCTAATACAGAAGTTATGGTAACCTGTTGCTTTATGAAACTGACGATTTTGCAAGTTGCCACCCCCACTGGGGCAGAAGTACAGTTAAATATGTGAATCCCAAAGATAAAGCTCATAAACTAGAACATAAGTTGATCCATGGTGCAAATGGCTACGCGTAACACAGGTTCCCAACATGCACACTAACACACTGTAACAGATCACAGTGAGAATCAAAGCTTAGTTAGCAATGCTTATTGCGCATGTGTATTAAACATGAAATGAGGTAATGATGTACATGATCGGTGAAAATTGAAATCCTTTGTTTGAAATGTTATAAATACCACTGCCTGGACCCCTGGGTGTGGTTGTAGTTTTGCGAAACAATTTGAAACTGTAACCTACTGCCTAGCAATAAACAACAATGGACTCCTAACTCCTCATCTCTGAGTTTTATTGGAGTAAACTCAGAAGATAAGCCATTTTTGGCTTACAACATAAGGAAGTACTCCACACAGCTCATAGTTAAACTGTAGGACCTGCTCCCATAAGGTGTACCAATGGCCCCTGATTTGGATTATTTAAAAAGACAAATTGATGGGAGACACGGCTATCAATGGTTACTAGCCATAACACTTATTTGTGTGTGCTACCTTTACTGTCAGAGAATAGCTCTTTCTGGGAATTGTAAGTGGGGAGAACACTGCTTCACTCATTCAAGTCCTGCCTGGAGGCTTCTAATTGGCATCTGCTTGGCCACCGTGGGAACAGGATGCTGGGTTGGATAGACTTTTGGTCTGCTCCAGGAGGGCTCTTGTTGGGGTTGTTGGGTGTATATGCTGCAGAAGCTCAGTTGAAGGGATTAAGCTTACCACAGAAAACAGCCATTTAGCGGAGTTGTCTGTACTAGGCCAACACCAACATACATATACACACTATTTGCTAATAATAATAATAATAATAATAATAATAATATTATTATTTTATTTATATCCCGCCCTCCCCAGCCAAAGCCAGGCTCAGAGCAGCTAACAACAATAAAATAATACAGCATTACAACAGATGTTACAATAGTCTTCTCTCTCTGAGCCCAGAGAAGGCTCTTTGCTTCAAAGTCCTTGCTGGGTTAAAGGCCACAGCCAAGTCCTGATTTAAGTTCCAACTTCTTCCTCAGACAATCTCTTCACAAAATTCTTCACATGTATCCACAGTTCCGACGGAGAGCCTTCAACTATTCGCGATCCACACAGTATTCTGTAACCTGAGCCCTTTTATACACAAAGTTACTTTCCAAATCTGCCCAGATAAGAGTGTCACAAGATGCCTGCAAGTGCATTGTGGGGGATGAGTCGTTTCTGCTGACGCATGGAGAATTAACCCATTAGCTGCATTCCTTAACAGGCTCCTTCTCCATTTTTAGATTTTTCACAAATATAAGATCCACTGCTAAAAGCTATGCTGATAATGTACTCGAATTTCCGCATAAGTGTACATGTTAAACTGTAAAGGTCTCCAACTTTAATTTTGGCAACTTTAGAAAACGAACAAGCCACATTACCAGACTTCATCCTTGTTGCGGGGGGGGGGGGGAGTTGTTAAGGGTATGAAATGGGGAACCTCCTTGCAGAAGGAAGTGGGAGACAAATTGTTGCAGCCTACAATTAAGCTAATTAAATGAATGCCTTGCAAATGCACTATAATGAAGGGGGGAAATCAAGTAAGATGATAGAAGTGTTATAATGCATTAGCATGAAAGGCATGCTAATTAAAAAGCCCTGGTGAGGCACAAAGAGCGGTGAATTTCCAAACTGGAAAGCTGTTTTGAATGTGCGCCAAGTTGCGAGAGCTTGACCCTACAACTTTCATTCTACAGAGAAAAGCAAATTGTGCAAAAGGAGAGGGAAGTGAAGTAAACAAAATGCCATTTCTCTCTCTCTTTGACATCCGCCCAAGCCCTTATGTTTTTGTAGCTGTGAACACTCTGGCAGGGATTGGGAGAAGGGCAGGTAAAAGCCTGCTATCACTGAGTTGCAAAGATCCTGGAGGACGGAGAGCAGGCAAAGGGGACTAGACAAGAAGGGGAAACAAGCAGTGGTGCACTTAGGTAATTTTGAACTCTGCACTTAATGGTCTTTTGTGGCAGCAGGGAGGATCTCCTTAGAAGGAAATGTACTGTATATTTCTTCCCTTGATATGCAGAATAAGTCAGCCTAGCTGCATTTGGAGGCCATCCTGCTCATTCTGCCACATGGACTCTCAGATTTCTGCCCCCAAGTCCTACCCTGACGGCACCACTGCAGATAAGAAGCAGGGCAGGGTCTATTATGCAGGGCAGAGCTTCAGCAGGTGGCAAACTAATGGAAGCAGGATTGTTGGAAGCATCAAAGCATTGGGTGAAGTCCAAAGAGATGAGGTGAAGAGAAGGCCAGAGGAAGGGATGTGAAAAATGAGACAGGAGAGTGGCTATGAACTTCAAAGGCAAGCTAAGCTTTGGTCTCTTCATTGATTTTACACAACCAGCCAAATATTTGGCTGCAGCCCGATGTTGCTTTGGTGGATGCTGCTAGCAAGCAGGAAAGTGCCCTTCTAGAAAAGCAGGCACTGTGGCTACAGTCCTGTGCTCAGCTGCATGCCAGAAGTGTCTAGGGCACACAAGCAACATGTTCTTCCCTGGCACTTTTGAGGCAATCTATTTTTTTCCCCACTCCACTGCTATCTTCTAAGTTATGGAAGTTCTAGGATCAAAGCTCCAGACTGGAGTTTGCATTAAAACTATTTTCCAGTTTGAAAATGTGATGCCTTTCTGCCAAGGTGTTATTGTTTTTTAATGCATAGCTTTTATTTTGACTCATTGTCAACACTTCCTTCATAATTTTGCTCCCCAATTTATTTGAAAGCTCATTGCAGGCAGCTTCCAGATTCTGCAAAATGGTTGTTGATTATTGATTTATTTATTTTTAGCAGAGGAGATTTCCCCAAGAAATGATAAACCCAGATTAAATTAAGGGAGGTGGGGGGGTGAGGGATACTGGCAACAGTTTTGATGGATGATGTCATGTGGACACTGCAAAAACAAAACCCCACAACCCAAACTTATGTGCATGAGGATCGCTTGCCCACAATAAACACCCATATGGAAGCACCCTTAGTCCCAATGAACTCCTGATGCAATTACAAATAACTAGGTGCAGAATTAGCCATACACCACGTGCACAGACATTCAAGGTGGAATAAACATATTCATTGACAGTAAAGGGAGATCTGCACCAAGTTAAGAACTGGGTGCCTAATTTGGGCAACCAACCCCAAAGTGAGCATTTCATGACAATATGTACATGGAAAGGAGAAGCGTGGGTGACTGTCACAAAGGAATTCCTGCACAATTCCTGATAGAACATTGTGTGGGCTGTTTCGATCATCCACAGACTAATTTAGAAAATTAAAAGGGTCATCTGGTGTGTGTATGGGGGCGGGATTTCAAAAGGTACTACAAAGGTACTACAAGAGTACCTCTACATTTTTTTAAAAAAGAGCAAAGTTACATTAGAGTAAAGGTAAAGGTACCCCTGGCCGTACGGGCCAGTCTTGCCAGACTCTAGGGTTGTGCGCTCATCTCACTCTATAGGCCGGGAGCCAGCGCTGTCCGCAGACACTTCTGGGTCACGTGGCCAGCGTGACAAGCTGCATCTGGCGAGCCAGCGCAGCACATGGAACGCCGTTTACCTTCCCGCTGGCAAGCGGTCCCTATTTATCTACTTGCACCCGGGGGTGCTTTCGAACTGCTAGGTTGGCAGGTGCTGGGACCGAACGACGGGAGCGCACTCCGCCGCAGGGATTCAAACCGCCGACCATGCGATCGGCAAGTCCTAGGCGCTGAGGCTTTTACCCACAGCGCCACTCGCGTCCCATTACATTAGAGTAGTGGGAGATAAATAATTTCACAGCATGGGTTGGAAAAGAATTCTGAAAACCTACGCAAATTCTGAAAACCTATGCAAAAGGATTGCCTCCCAAACCTTGAATATACTTAGGTTTGTTAAAGTCACCAGCCATGTTAATGTCCAGAGTTTGTTGATGTATTTGAAATAATGTGTTAATTCTCTCAAACTGATATAGCTAATTGGCCATATTTTCCTCCCTCCAAATGAAAACCAAGCTGATAAAAAAACAGCTCAGTCTAAGAAACTGTATTTGCCAAAATCAACAGTGGTTCCTGCATTGCAGGGGATTGGAATAGTTGACCCCTGGGATCTTTACCAACTGTACGATCCTATGATCTGGGACTATCTCTACCACAAGGATGCAGATGAAGTTCCTGGGAGCCAGCGATGCCCACATCCACTCTGGACAAACCCTCAGCAAAAACCTGAGCAGACATTCCAAACCAGCCATCACTATGAATGGATGAGAAGAATGGATGAGAAGGGAAATGCTTGCATGCGTGCTTTGATAGCGGTGGTTTCCCCATTGCGAATGAAATGCTACAATGGCTGTAGTTCTGCTGTCAGGAAGACAGAACAATTATTCCCAAAATCCCTCCAAATATGGCATTATTTCAGACCAAAGCCACAGCTTAAGCCCTAAAGTGCAAAATGAAAATAGAAATCAGAATGAAGCCAAAGGCTGCCATCAAGCAAGCACTTCTTGACACTGCAATGAGAAAGGAAATGGGTGCAGGTTTAAAATTGCACATAGTTCAGAGGAGAGTTGGGGAACGTCCCATCTCCCAGTAGTCCTAGCCAGCTTGGCCAATATCCAGAGAGCTTTAGTCCAACAACATCTAGAGGACTACAAGTTTCCCAACACATTATTTAGAGAGAGAAAACTGTGTTTATGGTGCAGCAAACAGTTTAAGTCCACTTAGACTCTAATATCATTCCTAGGTTTCTGCATCATGAAATGACATGGATGAATATATATATAGGAGGAGGAAAACTGAATGACTCTCTTCCTAACTATGGACATCATATCAGTGATGACCAGGACACAATGAACCACAACTACTTCCATACACACAAGGGAAAGTGGGGCGCTTTCTTGAATAGCAGACCCTTCAACATGTCACAATGCAAACTATTTATGAAACTGAGAGTTATTGCCAAAGATCCTTTGGAGCTCAGCTGAGCAAGGGGAAAATGGGGGGGGGGGGCCTCGCTGGGCATGCCCAAGCCCATGGGCACATTTTAAGACCCTAGTCAATATTTTCTTTTTTCAAATATATCATATCAATTAACTTCCACAAACTCTTGATCAAAAGCCTTAGAGTCAAACTTGTCACGGAGCATCCTTGGGAAACGATATTGTTTTCATATTAAGTTGTACCTTTAAAAAAACGTTTTGAGCTATACTACAAATTGGCAACATTATGAACAGGTTAGTACCAAAATTTCTGAAACATTTCGCCAGATACACTGAGGCTCGCACTCAGCTGAAAGA